TGTATTATGACAGATGCGCTACTTTTTTTTGTATGAAAAAGTTATGAGTAAAATATTTAGATGGGCCTAGTGTTTTGATATGACGTGTGTATTATGACAGATGCGCTACTTTTTCTTGTATGAAAAAGTTTGAGTAAAATATTTAGATGGGCCTATCCTTCCTTTTGAAATCATTGGACATGGTACGTTTTTGATTACAACGTTTTTGTTATGGAAATTATGACCTACAGAATAAACCCGGTGGACGCCCTGAGGCCCTTGTTAACAATGAAGAATTTCAACCCATTAAACAGCCTTTTTGTAGATTTTGGGTGTGTTCCGATATACACCGTGACCACTGTAAGGTATGACGTCAATTCGGTATACTGTAAAGCCGTTCCTTTTTAGTTTGTAATACTAGTAACTGTTTCAAACGAAACGCAGTCCAGTATACTGTCATCCCTATTTTTCTACATCGTTTTCAAATGAAAATATTTACCATGTACATGTCTTCTGTTCAACGAGAAAAATTATTACTTGAATATTGTTGCTTTTAAAACTTAATATCCAAGTTTATTTGAATAGCAATATTAATTAATAAAAAACCGGCCAAGAGCGTGTCGGGCCACGATCAGTGTAGGGTTCCGTAGTTTCCCGTCCGTCACAATAAGTGTTCCCACTTATGAGTTTAAAGGTGAGTATCCATTATGTTCGCGCTCCAGCAGCGCTCCGCGATCCTGCAACTGCTCCCGGTAGTGGGTACTGTTGTTTCCATCCAAGTTCAAAATAATTTTCCTAGAAAGTCCTTATAAAGTTCTACTTTTCAGATTTTTTTCATATATTCTAAACTTATGGTTCAAAAGTTAGAGGGGGGTGGGGGACACATTGTTTTTTACTTTTGGATCGATTATTTCCGAAATTATTGACATTATCAAAAAATGATTTTAGTAAACCCCTATTCATTTTTAAATACCTTTCCAACAATATATCACACGTTATGGTTGAAATTAAAAAAAAATCACTTCCCAATTTACATATAGGGGGGCTACCCTAATAAAACATTTTTTTCCAATTTTTATTTTACCACTTTGTCGGCGTGATTGATACACATATTGGTACCAAATTTCAGTGCTAACAAACTTAAAATTTCTAGTGCTAACGGTCACAGAGATTAGGCGAGGAAGGACAGACGGACAGACAGACATGGCGAAACTATAAGGGTTCCTAGTTGACTACGGAACCCTAATAATAACAATCATTCGTGGAAGCTGTTACATCTCTAGGCGCTATATTTTTGTACTGTGAGCACCTCACCTCGCAAGCGGAGGTGCTCACAGTACAAAAATGGTTGCGATTTATGACGTCATATATTTCCCTAGGGTACTGCGGCAGTATGCTGGCAGTCCATAACGGAACGAATTTTTCACCAGTGAGAGTACTGAGTAGTGCTCGCATTGTATACCGGAACAAGGCCCTAATTGATTCCTAGATTTTTTTCAGTAAAGGAATCAATAAATTACCTATAAAATATGTAGCGGAAATGCTTACGTAACAATGTACTTATTTTGATCGATTAAATATTAAATTTCATTGTTTTTTCGTTTTGCTTTTTCCATATAGAACGCTAATTTCATATGTAAGGAGTAAGAACCTAAAATACATCAAACAATATGTGTATCAAGTGTTTTTAAAGAACAAGTTAATTACTAATTAATCTTAAAATTAATAAAACGATTTTCCTTAAATATCAGGAAACTAGAAATAAAACTATAATAGAGATAGCAAGGCCAAGGTAATAAAGACGTATGCCCACTTTCCATACATTGATTGACCTGTCACTTGATTCGTTATACAGGTCGCATCTACCTACAACTACTGATACATAAAATCAATTATTATCACTTGTTTATTTAGAGGCCAGGGAAAAATGCTATAAAGTAAATAAGTTTTTCAGGTAATATAACCTGTCAACTGTACACTATGGTATACTATGGTGTTGAAAGAAAAATAACTTTCCACACCATAGTATAAAACCACAAAAACCATATCTGTCATAAAATAATAAGATAAGTAACAAAAAATAATTTATTAGTTATTTTGAAAATTCTTAAACCACGTGACAAATTAATAAGGTTTAGTAGTCTGTGAAACGAAATGTGTAAAACACATTTTTTTAATGTATATTGATATGGTTTCTGGGCTTTTAAGTCATTGTAAAACGCGTTCCGTCTCCAAAAGTCTATTGAGAATGATAAACATTGTAATATTACTTTTTCCTGGCTTTATTCGAAAATTCAATTATGCGATACCAAATAAGCAAAATAAATGCAATTTTATAAGATATTTTACATCACTAGACGCGTTAGAAAGTTTTCAGGTCAAAATTGGACATGATTCTTTTCGGAAGTATAGAACGACTTCACAATGTTCACGCGACCAGGAATCATATCATCGGTGTACATTATCTGTAGTTATGTTATTTACGCAACGCACGCGCGTAAGCACGTTTAAGCACGCGCTCAACACACGTTTGAATGGCCACAAGTGGATTTTATCTCGAGCACCTGCGGATATCGTAAGTTCTTTATCTCTGCCGCTGGTAATGGCGCAATTCAATATGCACAATCTGATAATAGCGCCTAGACTGGACAGACATGTCAAATCATCACTCAATCAAATTTTTTATTCATATAATTGATGGATGCCTCACACGATCCAGTTTACCGTCAAGTTTGTAGTGTTTGAAGCGGCGGTGCGGCGTCCAGTTTACAGTGCAACCATATAGACCACTTATAGCTTAAGAGCCAGTGGCCGGCAGACTTTCGGTATTTCCCGTTTTACGGTAATCCTTACCTGAGGTACATGAAATGGGGACTTTTTATTTTGACCGGCGGTAGATATAAAAGACGCTCAGGTGTGAAAGGTTTAAAAAATGACCAAAAAACGTGATAGCAATAAGTCTGCCGCTTTGACATCTTGAAATATTCAATAAAAGTTACCGAGAAATAACATGGGCAGACACCTATGATGGTCTCAAGGTCATGGAAGACAGCTTGAAAAGTACAATATTTTTATTAATAATTTACGTTATTTCAATAAAGCTGCAATTTATATACATTGTTAATAATATTATTTGAGAAGTATAATTTTCATGGCGGACATAATGATGTATATTGTGGTTCTATCACCCAGGCAAACAACAAACTTTTGGATCGTCCATAAGGGCGTACTATTAATACTCGCTCTTATCCAGTCATTATATTAATTAAAAAAAAATATTACATTAATTGAAAGTAAATACTATCGTATCACATTGATTCCTGGAGGACATTGATTGTAATTAATAATAATTACTGGTGATAAAAATAATAAATGTCTTGTTGTAAAAATAATAAATTAAGTAGACTGAATCTGCCTTATAAACACACATATTATTTTAAAATAATTGGTTACTCATGTTTCCATACATTTTATTATACCACGGATAGGTACTTAGACTTCGTCAAAATAATTATTTTACTATAACAATGGTTAAATTTAAAAAAAAAAACTATTACTAACATATGTTCCTTCGCTGATAACGTTAAGTACTATAATAATAAAAAACTAATTTGTGGTCGTGATGTAAATTAAGTTGATTTTTTTTAATCAAACCTACTATATACTAGTTAAAATTTTCTTGTGTTTTTTTTGAATGGCTATAAGTTCTGCCATAACCCATTTCAAGACCGGATACCCTGTATAATGAATGGAAACACCTAAATAACTAAAGTGTTCTATGATGTACGCCGAAAAAGGACGATCAAAATTTTGTAGCTTATGACTTGAGTTTATAGCAAACCCGAGCAGACTAGCACCCAGAAGTTCGAATCTATCTTGTGAACCGGTGCTCACAAGAATAGATTCGACCATCTCAGCAGGAAAATGTCAACTTGTCACACGACGCTGCCATATTAAGCGGAGTCCTTTAAGCGAACATGACAATATCATCATTCATCACACACTGAGATGTATCTCCGAAAAACGCAAAATTTTTTCCTAAAAATCTATCTATGCAACCCATAGGGGGTTGCATAGATAGATTTTTAGGAAAAAATTTGTTGTATTCTATTAACCAATAGTTAAATCACAAATTCACATTACTTGGCGATCAACTGGAATAACACTGTTCCATGTTGCTGAGTTATCAAAACATTCATATGCACTAAGAGTTAGAGTTCATTCGATTACTCTGCTAAGCTTTAATAACAAGCATAACTATTTAAGCATAAACACTTAACGTGATTTTTGAATTTAAAGAAATTTAAAGGTAAGCCTTAAATTTATTTGAATTTTTAATAGAATTTAAAGGTAAGGGTAAATATTATAAGACACACATAAATCGTTTGTGTTCATTGCGCTATAAATGACTTAAATATCTTAACTACAATTCTCAAATTCTCAAATACTCAATAACTCAAATTCATACACTACAATGATCATTTTTTTGGTAAATCGCGGCCATATCGTGTCATTTATATCAATGGCAAATACATTACATCGTCCGGTTGTTAGACTGCTGGCACTCTAAATCACGATATCTACTGTCGATACGTCCACCGGCGTGTTGCGCGGAAGATCATATCGGAGTAGTCTTACTCTAGAGGAAGGCTACATTTTCCACGATAACCACAGTAAAGTGCGATAGTATACAGCTACCAGCAAAAGTCACCCTCAAGGATTGTTGTCTTATAATTATCACAATATATATGCCTATCGATTCTATTGAAAATTTAATGGGATTCACGAATGTCTCAGTAAGACGGCTGCCATTATTGAAAGCCCCATGGAATCAGTGTTTACGTTGGGGGATTACAATGCGCAACCTACTCTATTTTACGACTTTAATACTTTGACATAAAATATTATACAATTTATAAATGATTTCCTGGTGAACCTCTGATATTGATGACATTATGAATGTAACCACAACACTGCAAATTTCTAACAGACATGCAATAAATAAAAGTGGTGATAGTTACATTGAAAAGCGGCGGCGCGGCCACCTGCGAGGACAGCTCGTGCAGTCGCGCGCGCACGGCTTCTTCCTCGGGACTTAATGGCGCGCCCACACGCCCCAATACCTCCTTCCGTGCAATCACCTAAAAATAGAAAACATTTTAATTAACATACATTTTTTGTAGAATATCATGGTTGTAGCACGTATGGGTCGGTTCGACCGGAGTAGGACGACGCCTTCACAGAATACCAACTTAATGCTGCTGTGTTTCGTATGGTGCGTGTAGAGAACTAGATACCCTCCTTACTGAAAACGAGGTATTCCATCTTAGTTCTCAGGGGTGACAACGCATTTGCATTTTGATTCTTAATCGAGGATAAATGTAGATGTCTAGGGGCCACAGCATCCACTTACCATTAGGTGGACCGTGTGCTCGTTTGTTACCCCTTATTCCATAAAAAAAAGTTTGAACCAGTAAACAGTCGATGACGATAGTAACTTAAGGCGTCAAATAGACACATTAATTTGAGGTTCACAAAACTAATAGTTCGTAAGCGCAGACATTTAACACACTAAATCACACCATTTTTACGTATCAAAATCCACTTCAAGTTCAAACTATTATCTAAATAATATTATAAGAGCAGCAATTCGTTGGCGTTAAGTTCCCGCCAAAACTACCACAGATACTTTAATTTTATTTATATGTTATCCATCTAACCATAACATACTATAAAAGTTCATTGCGGAAACAGGCTCCCCTATAGTACGACAACTACAGTATTTTTTATTATTTTGAATTGTTGAGATTATAAGATGTGCCTATAACCAGTTTTAGTTTTTTTTCTATGGCCTCTTATGACACGTAGATTATTAATAACCCACCATCAGATGAAGTGACGATCTGGTAAGATATGCAGGAAGTTGATGGATGGATGTAGGTGGCTCATGACCTAACTTTGTGGTATTCTATGGGGAAGGCCTTTGTTCGGCAGTGGACGTGTGAAAGGCAACTGCCCTATTAAGTGTACTGCTGAACATAGATGTTCTCTCATATGGCGAATATTTGCCATAGTTGCTACACTTACCAGTAAGAGGCTGCCATCACAACAGGTTGCGATGAGGTGGGGAGTTTTGGCGGGAACTTGAATAATGGTTTGAAGTTGATGTTGATACGTAATACTGATGCGATTTTGTGTATTAAATGCTTACGCATGTTAACTATTAGCGAAAACGACGAATCAAGTGCTTCGGTGTCGATATATGCCTCAAGTTATTTTACATAGGCGCCTTAAGAACTTGAGTTACCGTTGTCATCGACTGCTGGGTTGAGATCTACCAAAAACTTCGCAATGTGACGCATCAACATATTGTTAGGAAAAAGTCGATAAAAACGAGGATCCCGACTAAAATGAAGACATGGCTTTAAGGACAAGCATCCATTGCTTAAAAATCTTAATAAAAACAAAAGTGGTGGTGGTAAGGTACTGGCCTGCAGCAGCAGATGGCGCAGTGCGTGCAGGCGCGCGGCCAGCTGCGCCAGGTTAGCTGCGGCAGCGGCGCGGCGCGTGCGCAGCTCGTCCAGCGTGTCGCCCGCCGCGCGCAGCCAGCGCGCCTGCAGCCCCGCCTGCTCCGCCTGGCATCGCGCTCGGAATTTTATCTGTTACACAATAATCAAATCAAACCAAAAACCAATACTAAAAACAGACTATTTACGTGGTAGCCTTGCTGCAGTTATATTAGTAGTATAGTTATAGCACGAACGGGTCGGCTCGACCGGGGAAGGACCATGATCTCACAGAATACCAGCGTAAAATAGTAGCTTAATGCTGCTGAGTTTCTTATGGTGAGTGTAGAGAACCGGAGACCCTTTTTACTGGAAACGAGGCATTCCATCTTAGTCCTCACTGGCGACAACGCATCTGCAATTTGATTCGTAATCGAGGATAAATGTAGATGTCTATGGGCCGCAGCAACCACTTACCACCAGGTGGACTGTGTGCTCGTTTGTCAGCCTATCCTATAAAAAAAGACAAACATATACATCTACAAGATTTAGCCTGCGAGATAATAAAAAAATACAGTATACGGTGTTTACTATTATACTGGGAGATCTTTTTTACCGTCTTCTTATAGTGTAAAAGGTAAACGGAATAGAAAAAAATTGTAAAATATCAGTGCCATAGGCTTCTATTCCGTTCACCTGTTACACCCTATTTTTTTTTTGACGGTAAAAAAGGTCATCCAGTGTATACAGATTATGCACGTAATCTATGAGCAATAAGGATTAATGACGACTTTCATTGATTAAAACATATTTAAGTCCTGACGACGACGAAATAAAAACCTTGGAGTCTGTATAAACAGAGAGACAATTCATCTTCTATGGCGTAACGCGAAACGTTCATGGATGCTATCATCAGTCATACAATTATTTAAGATTTTCTACACTAGGTAGGTACACAATACTTAATTTAGTATGTCACTGTTGTAATTTAAAATAATTTTAGATACTATTTATATTATAAACTTATATATAAAAACTACAAACAACTTTCATAATTAAATTTGCATGTTTTTATGATTACCTCTGTAAATCCAATAATAGGTACAGGAATGTAGTTATCTGGGTCGGGATTATCAACTTGCGCTTGTTTCCACAGCCGCATGTCCATACCTGGTATTATGAATAAAACATTACCAAATGCAACTCTTATTGTGCAACAGCCTTATTCATAAGAATCAATAAAGTATATAATATTAAAATTAGTCTATTAAAATTGAGGAATGCAGAATATAGGATGCACTTCACTTATAGCATATATGCTCTATATGCACCTTCTACACATTAAAAAATATATAATAACGATTACCCCAAGTAGTCAAAGTTCACTTGCAACTTTAGATATAAATTTGACTGATATCAGCTTTGAGTTCTTAAAGAATTACAACAAATCAATATTCCTAAAGCGCGTGTTCAGATTTCATTCATCCTCTTCTTATTTCGAAATGTGCAATCGAACTCGCAGTGCCGGTAACATTTATTTCCGCACATCTATCAAAAGTGGAGTATTCCCCAACATATGGAAGTACTCTATAATAACGCCTATTCCAAAAAACAAAGATATAGTATCTGAATATAGACCTATTTTGAAATTAAGGAAGGTCTTTGAGAATATTACTTATCGCTCTCTGCTCATCAATATATATATCCCAACAACATGGAAAGTTTGCTTAAAACTTTTCGCAAGTTTTAAGTGGTTACGATTTGGCCTAAACACCCCGTAAAAAGCCCACGCGAGCGAGAGACAACTAATCGCTTTATTAAAATTCATTTTTTATGACAGCAGCAGTATCGCTAAGGCAATGCGAGATCATCATTCGACCTGTGTCAACCAGTGGAGTGCGCGGGAAATTTGAAATAGTCTGAAACAGTTTACGAATTATTTTATTAGTTGATATTATTGATTGATTCAGTTTGATAAGGCAAGCCCGGCTTTTCGCCTTCTACGGAGGCTCCGCCACTGCAAACGAGCACACAGTCCACCTGATGGTAAGTGGATGCTATGGCCCATAGACATACACATTTATCCTCAATTAAGAATTAAAAAGCAAAAGCGTTGTCAGCCCTGAGGACTAATATGGAATGCCTCGATTCCAGTAAAAAGAGTCTCCGGTTCTCTACACTCACCATATAAAACACATCAGCATTATGCTGCTATTTTACGCTGGTATTCTGTGAGAGCGTGTTCCTGCCCTGTTTGAGCCGACCCATTCGTGCTACAACTATAATATAGATGTAGCGTGGCTCTACCACGTACAAAAAGTTATTATAGAAGAAACAGTCCAAAAAGTTAAAGCCGAGTCACAAAATAAGAAGACAAACACAAAATTACAAAATTGCGCTCAGTAAGCTCTCGAAACAGAAATAGAAACTTTTTCATTCAATATAGATTATGAATAATACTTATTGAAAGTCACTTTTTTCATTTACCACTGGTTCGCAAAAAAAATCTGTCCTGAGAAGAATCAGCAAGAAACCCAACGGGACCAGTTTAAAAAAAAAAAGCTTACAATCATGCGTGTTACAATTAACAACACAAAACAACTTAGAAATAGCTTGATAGCGATCACCCTTCCCAGGGGTTATTATCAACCATAAATTCCGCAATATTAAAATAACCCCTTTTATACAAACTTAGTTTAATAAAGTTTTTGAACTTTGTGTACTTACGTCAAATTTTGTATATTTTCTGATATTTTGTTATAAAAGCGTATACATCGCCTCAAAAATTAATTACTGATTCTGTGGAGTCGAGTAACTGGTACCGAAATGGCGGGATATTGAAATTATGTAGTGGTTATTTTAGCACGGCCCTGTATGCGAGTTTTTTTTAAACAAAAATTTACTTTGATAAAGTGAAAAAAATAAACTTGTTTTATTCATGATTAATGTAATTTAAGGAATTTTGAAACTAAAAATTAAATTAAACAAATAATACATTAAAGAAATTAATGATTCGATTATTAGAATATTTTTACCGATTATTTTTAAATGATTATTTGTATATTTTTCCGATTATTCGCATAACAATAAACTTTAATCATCCAAACACTACGGTAATATACATAGCAACATGTCATTGAAACGAGGTCAAGTAAAAAAGTTATTACTGGTTATTTTTTAATATTTTGCTTTATTTGAAAAATTCAAATTTAAATAAGTGATAAAAAACTATACACGTTGTAATGAAATATAGGTCATTTCATAATTCTTCGGATTTACGTAAAAGGTTATTTTAAATCGTGTGAGTATGCTTGTGCAAAGTTATTGCGGAATGATTAATGTGAAACGTCAAAAGGTATTTCTTAGATTGGTTAACTTTAGTTTACTTAACGCAAGTGATGAAAATATGAGTACTTTAAAAAAGCATACTATGCCATTTTTGTAAGTTTTGTTTTCATTCTTTATCTCGTCTCGCTAGCCATACCAGTATAGCGTAAACAATATTCTATACAAACCAGGGGGCGATGTTTGAAGATATTGTTCTAACATCTGTGGTGTGGGCTTGGTGGCCGGCGTGACTGTAGCGCAGCCCGAGGACGTCAATGCAGAGCGGGCGTTGCCGCTCCCTAAAAACGAGCCGAGTTCCGAAGCCGATACATGAGCTCCACCCGCATTTTTGTCCACCACGTAAATCACTACCTAACGAACGAATAGAATAAAATTAAATTGTTAGTATAATAAGAAAAAACCAAAGTGGTGTAATTGTATCCACTGAAACAGAAACAGAAACTTTTTATTCAATGTAGATTATAAACAATACTTATTGAAAGTCAATTTTTTTCATTTACCACTGGTTCGCAAAAAACCTCTGTCCTGGGAAGACCAGCAAGAAATCCAGCGGGACTATTTTTTTTTTCAAATAATAAGCTTACAATCATGTTTACAATTAACAACACAAGACAAATTAGAAATAGCTTGGTAGCGATCACCCTTCTCAGGGGTTATTATCATCCATAAATTCCTTAATATTATAATAACCCCTTTTATACAAACTTAGTTTAATAAAATTTTTGAACTTTGCGTATGACAAATTTTGTATATTTTCTGGGATATTGTTGTAGAAGCGTATACATCGCTCCAAGAATGAATTACTGACTCGATGGAGTCGAGTACACTACACCATATCATCCCGTGGGTGTCATAAGAGACGACAAATGTTAACAAACCAGGAGATGAGCTGATAGGATGGGAAAAAAACTGCGGTTGCCCACTCACTTATCAAGCTTAGCAATTATGGTAATTATCCCCCCCATAAGGCAATCTATGGGGGAGGCCCATGTTCAGAAGTGGACTTTTGATAGGCTTTAACGGTACGGTATAACAGTAAAACCACAACTGTAATCCTTACTAGGTGTTACTCACGGTGCCACTGTATTATTTTAAGAACATACAACTGCTGAGCATAGGCAAATAGTTAAATGGATTTGCCTTATACAAAACAGTTGCCATGTTGATTAACAATCACATGTTTCAGAGCTTTGACGCTTCTCCTCATCGCTAATATAGATGCTTTACATATTATGTCATCTACGAAACGTTTATAGCGCTATCTACCGTAGGGTATGAGATTATTATAATATTTCCCATAGTCAACACATAAAATACCCATGGAACAGCACAATATGGTGTGACGAATTATATTGGAAGTTGACAACACAACAATAATACTATATATTTAGATAAAGGTGACCCCTAGAACTTCGATGGCTATCTGAGGACAAAACTAGAGCATGAAACATATCCAAATTCAGAGAGGTGTAAGACTGAGTGAGGTTATGTTTACAAAACTTCACAGCTGCATTGGAAGACATTTTCAAGCTATTGAACTGGAAAATATATGGTATTAAGAACTGTAGTTCGATTTTCCCAAGATATAGTCCTTATGACAAAACCACTAAGGATCTCAGCACAATGCTCAATTACCTCATTAGTGTCTTCCAATGGATAGGTTTTAAAATGAATAGGACAGTACCAAGGTCATGTAAGACATCCATGTCACACCTACGTCAGTAGTTGCTGGGAGCACTATGCTCAAAATTGTTGTTGAGTATATTTACTTAGGACGAGATGTCCGACTAAGTATTATCTTGACTAAATATTAACGACCATGAGGTTAATTGAAGGATCCAACTCGGCTCTGCACCTTTCGAAAGATTACAACAAAACTTCTTGTCTCATAAGCGTCACAGTGTGTGTTAGCACTGATGACATATGGATCTGATACATAGTGCATAGTCAGCTAACTATAGGAGGGCTATGCCTGGTGTTTTATGTTATAAAAATAATCACATGTTAACTGAAACCCATCTCTACACCTCCAATAGTATGACATACTTCTTTATAAACTGTCTACTCATTAGATACTTTGAGAACCACCAGCTGATCAGTCCATGTGAGAGATGTTCAGTTCTGCAGACACTAGAAAAGTAAAGCAAAATTTGCTTCTAGAAAGCAGAGTGGGAGTATTTCATGCCACACCATTTTAACACCGCAAATTTATAATGGCAAGTACGGCTTCACAAATATCTAATGCTGTTGTCATCTCCACTTGACTGCATCCAGAAAAATCAGCTTGATTTACTGACATTGCAAAAAGATGCTGCATTTCTTTACATTTTAATCCTAATTACTTTGGGCAGTGCTTCAAGTAAAACCACTATTTGGGACCATACTTTTAAGGGACCTTCAAGAAGAGAACCTACACAAAGACAAACACAACATACCTGCAACTCTTGTGGTGTTGCAGTTCTTAATTGGCAGTGTTAAACACTTAACATCAGGTGAGCCGCATGCACGATCTTCTATAAAAATATTTATCTTTTTAGGGTGATTTCCAGTTTATTATTTCTAAACACAAACTAAGTATTCTGTTATAATTGTCATACCTGGGTTTTATTTTCTGATATTGGTTTGATAGACTCTATATTGACAGCTAGATTTTGTTTGCTACCAAGAAGTCCAAACACCATTGTTATGAATGCTTGTTGATTATTTCTGAAAATTAACAGATATAAAACATTAAAATTATAATATGTTACATTAAAATTAAATAACAAATAACGTATTTTCGTACTTAATTTCTTGCTCTGGTTTATTAAATAACATAGCTACATGGCCATCTTTGTCTTCTTTCCCAGCCAGTCGAGAATATCCAACAGCTTTAAAACGACACAATGGGTTCTGTTCGTTCAGCTCTAATGCAGGAGCATTTCGACTGTAATATGCCTGACCTGCAAAGATAGTACAAAAATACTTAACACCTATAATAACTATTATCACAATTTTTTATATGTGAATATCTATGTACATGATAAAGTCACACTGCAGCTATAGTAGTTGTAGCACGAATGGGTCAGCTCGACCGAGAAAGGACCACACTCTCACAGAATACCAGCGAAAAACTGCATCTTAAGGCTGCTGTCTTTCGTATGGTGAGTGTAGAGAACCGATGACCTTGACTTGTAACGAGGCATTCCGTCCTATTCCTCAGGGGTGACAACACATCTGCATTTTGATTCTTAATCGGAGATAAATGAGAAGATATTGTCTGTGGGCTGCAGCATGTGCTTGCACCGTCAGGTGGACTGTGTGGTCGTTTGTCACCATTATTAAATTTAAAAAAATTCTATAACTCTATTTCAAGAACAGTATCACTACGACCTGTATTATCTATTTTGACTTTAGGATTGCTGCTATAGTTCTTACCACATTATAGTGGCGGAATAAGAATATCCACTTCCCTATATCGTAGCGTGGGTAAGGCGATAGAGGAAAACTTTTTAACTAAGATTTAGTTAGTAAAGTAAAAAAAGTAAAGTTACAACCTATACATAGGTACGTCCCACTGATGGGCACAGGCCTCCCCTCATTTCTGAGAGGATTTTAGGGCAAGGAAGTGTCCGCCGCACAACCCCAATGCTTGTTGGCGAACTTCACATGTCTTTGAAACATTTTTTTTTCTTATTCCTCAGACATGCAGGTTTCGTCACGATGTTTTCCTTCACCGCCGAGCACGTGGTAAATCAGCACTTAAAATTGCAATTAACAAATCGAACCCGGGTACTCGCGTTTTGTTATATTTACAACGAGCGCTAACCATCTGAGCTACCACGGCTTGGATTTCCTAATAACTAGAAAATTGAAAAACTGGTTGTAAAACCAGCCTGTTAAGCATGACAATTATATCAAATATCCCTCTTATAAGGCAATCTTTGGGGAAGCCTATTCAGCAGTTGAATTTGAAAGGTTATAATGAATGATTGAAAAAGAAATGCTATAGTCCACCACTAAATTTGCAATAAAATGCTGTGAGACCTTTCACTTCATATAGGCTTACATGTATATACGTTACATTCCCATGCACAACCTTTTCTAGATGTATGTTACATTTGTGTTGAATAAAGGAATCCACAACTTTTTCTGCTACCAAAAACATTTTGCCTTCTCAAAATAAACTGTTCTTGTATTTACTTGCAAGTGTTGTAAGCAAACATTGGTAAATCAATTAAATTGAAAAAAAAAAATTAATTTACCTTTAGACATAGACATAGATTTTTAAATAGACAGAAAATGTGCTCATCACATCGTTACCACAAATTTCTAAACAAAACTTTTTTTCATTTTTGGGGGATAAAAGATAATAGCAAGGTGCTAAATCTGAGCAGTAGGGTGTGTATTCCACAACTTCAATGCCCATTGTTTATTCACTATAATGCGCTAGTGCTTAAATTTTTTTTTGTTTTTTTACCCTCACTGTTCTTTCACTTGTCAATATTTGAATGCTCATAATTGAAAAGATGAAAACTTTTCAGTTGAATATATACTGATTTTGTCAAGATGATCATGAAAATGGTTTTATCTGATACTGCAAACCTCTCAGGTAGTTATTTTCTAAACAAACATTTTCCAATCCTAATTTAGTTATATTTTTACTGTTTCTACTGTTAGCTTGTCATGCTGTCCCCTCCACATCTTTAAAGAAAAGGATATCAAAGTTGTGTCTAGTCTCACCAACGTAAACAGCATTGCATCAACAAGTATGTAAACTCTTGACTTTTGTAAAAAAAGCTAACAGTTTTACATCCATTAATTACACACAGGCTAACATCCAGTACCACAAATATTATATTCACTACAACATATCAAAACACAGACAAAGGGAAAGAAGTCAGGAGACGGGCGGCAGTGTCTTTCTAATAAATTATTATTAGAATAATAATGACTAAAAATAAAAAACTGTGTCAGCCAACCCACTTGTCTAGCGTGATAACTATTGTAAATATCTGCCCTATGAGGCAGTCTATGGGGGAGGCCGATGTTCAGCAGTGGATATTAAAACCCATTAACCAAATACTATAAATATTATTAAACAGGAAACTTGCATGTTTGCGACAGAGCAACTAAAAAGTAATCATCCTGAAGTCATAATGATAAAATGAGTATATTTATAAAAATCAAGTAAGAGAAAAATAAAGATTGGCTACTTATTTGAAATCTGCTGACAAAATAGCCCTCCCTTCTTAAGCATTAACAAAGAAAATATTACACGCACGCAAAGACGTGCGGGATGATTGTAAACAACATGAATTTAATGCCATACCTGTACCCCATTGAGCCTGTAAAAGATTCCATTTGGCAAGCACTTGATCCCTCTCATCTCCAAAGACACAGCAATTAAAAACTGCTGCAACAAGTGCTTCATGTGCCGTTGCTGGACCCTGCTGTTGTTGTTGCTGCGGTTGCTAAAAAAATAGGTTACTGTAAACATTTGGTTTCATTATTTAAGACAAGTAATTTACTCATGTTTTTAAATGATACCTTAAGGCTTAGTTTTTGAACTGTCTTTAACTTACTATACATACTTAACCCATTAACCCCCCCCCCCCCCCCGAATAAATTTGTCAGAGTTCTTAGATTTTTAAAAGAAATCAAAGCTTAAATATATAGTTATAACTATATTTTATAAGTTGTCCGATAGTTGGATGCTGTGGGATACACTGAGAGTTTTGTGTATCTCATAAATAAAACAATTTATATGTAAGTTAATATTCTTATAATAATATACTTTTTCAAAGACAAAACATTCAGCATCTTCTTTTACTCTTCATGTGGGATCATGCTGACAGGACCCATCTAGGCGAAAAAAAGAAATCTTTTTTTTTCTAAATCTCTTCCCTGCATCAATTTTGTTAGTTGTCGCCTTCGAACATGCATACAGAAGGCTGTTGATGATGTTTGACATTGTGACATCATCATCATCATAGACAGTATTTGAATGTCCATGATCATATTTTAACAACATTTTTTTTGCAACATTCAACTTGTTTTTGTTCTGATGCGAGTTCATGAGAAATTCAGCGGCAACAAAGTTTCCCAACATTTATACTTGATGAGTCAGCATCATCTTGTAAATTAGCAGCCTTTAATTTCATTATTCTTATAAACATTTTCAGATCCATTTTGCTTTTATCTTCAATAAAGTACACCTAGTCACCCGTGAGGACTAAGATGGAATGCCTCGTATCCAGTAAAAAGGTTCTCCGTTCTCTACACTCACCATACAAAACACAGCAGCATTAAGTTGCTATTTTAGGCTGGTATCGTGTGAGTGACCTATTAATGCTATAATCAAATACAATACAACTGCTGCAATTTGACTCTACCACATAATTCCTCTGAATTACCTCTGATCTCTCAGATACTTCTTTATTGCATTCAGGTATCTCCATTGCCAAGATACTTGGTACAAGATATTCGGTTGTTTAACAAGTAGCTTTCTTTTTGACTGACATTTCCTAAATCTAATGCCCAGTTTGTACAATAATATTCTCAACCGTGATTAATAATTCCGTCCTCTTTAAGATCAGTATTTATTTCATGTGCAAACTTTCTTTCAAATATTTTCTGGAAACAAGGCATTCCAGCTTAGTACCCAGTGGTGACAAAACATCTGCATTTTGATTCTTAATCGATGATAAATGTAGATGTCCATGGGACACAGCATCTACTTACCATTAAGTGGACTGTGTGATTGTTTGTCACCCATATTCTATATAAAAATAACCGCTATTCTGTTTGCGCTTCAGACGATTATATAATTTAATAAATTTACTCACATTAGACAGTGAGATCCTGTTGCTTGCGCATCAGTTTTGTCACACTTATGTCTTATATAACTTTCATTTTATTTTCCAGCTTTAAAGAAAGTATTAATGTTGAATGCTGTTTGTTTTGCTTTTTTGCAAATTTTCTTGCCAAAAATCTTATGGCGATTCATATTGGGATTGATTGTGGCACGTTTATCTCAAGCATCCAACACCTTTCCCTTCCTTTCCCACCGAGAAGCCTTAAGACAAGGTGTGACAGACCAAAAGCGGACATAGGCAGAATTAGTGACCTAACCTCAATACCACAGGATATATTGTAAAAATAGTGATCTGTCTAGAGATGAGTCAACTGGTGAACCTGATAATAATTGCTTGCCTGGCTGCCCTATAACACCCATATGTCACTCTTGCGCAAACTTCTAATCGTGCAGGCGATCCTTCAATTAAGCAGTTTATTTATCATTCCTCTTTGGGTATTGATTCCACTTTACATCAAATGCAGTTGTAAACAATTATATTATGTCTTTTAATACACTAAGATGTTTTGGATTTTGGGCTTTGGAGATTTGCATAAGGAAGTCTTAGACATTTTCTAGTAATAAACTCTGAATGATTAGTATATATATTATTTAACTCATAGTGTACCTGTGGTTGTTGTCCAAATCCAGTAGTAGTGCCAAGACCAGCACCAAATCCACTAAATCCAGTGGTAGCAGGTTTAGTTCCAAAGGCTGTGCCAAATGTAGATCCCGTTCCAAATGTAGAAGTACCGAAAGTATTTGAACCTAAAGTATTTGTTCCAAATGTTGGAGCAGCACTGCCAAATGTTGAAGTGCCAGTCCCAAAGCTGGTGCCAGCACCAAATGTATTGGTTCCAAAGCCGGTGCCAAAACCTACAACAAATTTGAATGAGTAACAAAACAAAACTTTCAACTATTAAAACACAGCCTTATAAAAATAAATACTATAACATGATTTCTTTACAGGCCCTTATTTATAAATTGATGCTGCTATGCAATATCAAAAAGTTTACAAGCCATTACTTCATTTTACAATAATTAATTACAATCAACTTTTTAGAAATCATATCATCATCATCATCTATCAAAGTTCACTGCTGAACATAGCCCTCCAACAGATTGCCTCTTTAGGGGAAGGGGAGATTTTGTTGCCACACTTGCCATGGCAGGCGAGTTGGCAACCGAAGTACAAAGCACACTGACCACCAGGTCACATAGTAGACAAAAACTTCCTTCACTCATTACAGCCTATCAAAGTTCACAGCTGAACATAGTTCTCTCCATAGATTGCCCCATAAGGAAATAGTCTATATACAAGAAATGTATCAGATATTGACTTGTAAACAAGCATATCGAATAAGGAAAATCATAGCTGACAATAAATACCAGGATCCATCTCTATAATGAAACCCGACAGAAGGTACTCAACATCGCGGGATGAAACTCAATGCATCTTAATTGAAACGCACTTCCCAGGTTGCCATGTTATTTAGCAGGGTGTGAACTGGCATGATTGACACCAACAATGGAAGACGGGAATTTAGCACACAAAGTACTGGACAAAATCTATTAGGCCACTCACAGGTTCCTCCCTTGTAAGGCGGCAGGAGCTGACAGCATTTTTCCAGTACAGTGGGGAGGGAGGTAAAAGCCAGACTAATGGTCAGACTTGTTGTCATAATGAGAGTATATCTGGCATTCAGATATGTTCCTAGGGGGTAGGGTTCAGTGCAAGTTTACACACACACCAAGTAATAGCAATTATAAAGACCCATTAATGTTACATTCTTTCTCCTAAAAACAATGGAGAGAGGCTGTGTGAAAGGGAATTAAGGGGGTCGGCGCTAATAAGCATACCACTGCATGACAAGGAACATCTCTACAGCTAAGGCAAAACAATAGAATCGGTATTACACCAGGTAATAACAAGGATTGAAGAGGCCATTCAAAATAAAGAAATATGTTTAGGTTTCTTCACAGATATAGAAGGGACTTCTGACAAAACATATTTCTGCACTTCGTAGACTGAACTGAACTTAGTAGTTGAACCAGCACTGATTAACTGGGTAGTTAACATGCTCAGTATATGAACAATATGGATCGCTGGTGAGCCTAAATAAAGAAAGGCTGTCTTCCTTGACTTCTTCAAGTAGATTTAAAGGGTCAAATAAATACGATATTCCTGCCCATGTGAAAAAGTGTTTAGACACGGTATTGTGAAAAATAGCCCGTTGTAAACTAATTTGAAGAGGAATATTTGCCTTAGTTGGCATGCTTGGTTGGCAGGTTCACAAACACTGTTTATTATGTTCTAATTGTTATTAGGAAGACGCCGCTGCCAACCTTCTAGTTTATTTCCCTGTTGCCTCTTATCATAATCACAGGATGACATGGCACAGTGGATATTCTTACTGCCACTAGTCTAAACCAAGTATCAATAATATATAATAATAATTCTTGAATAATAAATATGAACTGCAGTGCTATAAAAACAGCATTAATATTTTAAAATTTAATACACCTGTAGCAGGTTTAGCTGTAGTTCCAAATCCTGTTCCCCCAAACAATGATGGAGTAGTTGTAGCTGGTGTGGTCCCTAATCCAAATGGTGTTGCTATAACAGAAAGTAATAATTAGTAAATAAATGTAAACAGCTAAAATAAAGTATAAGTGAAAACTTATGGATTGAGTAAATTATATTGTTGTTTATATCTGATATCCATATGATATAATACATAAAAGGAAATCAAGATACTAAGTTCTCATTGAAAATGTCTTTCTACTGCAAGTTAAAGTTATATTGTTGTTTATACCTGATATCCATACGATATAATACATAAAAGGAAACCAAGATACTAAATTCTCATTTAAAATGTCTTTCTACTGCAAGTTAAAACCTTAGCATTAAATAGTTAGCAAACTACAGCAAATTTGTGAAGAGATATCAGGTGAGTGTGTGAGCCAGCCAGAATAAAATTCATTCTGAAAAAAGGCCATGGTTAGGAGTGGACCTAAAAGGGATGTAGTGTTGGTTTTGTGTTAATTTAATAAAACGCTTATTAGAACCTGTGTTGGCAGTTGTTGAGCCAAACGAACCAAATCCGGACGAAGAAGTAGTCGTTCCAAAACCGCCAAATCCAGCTGTTGTTGTGGAGGCAGTGTTTGTGCTACCAAAAGAAAATGTTGCTGAAAACCAATATTATGCATATTAAATACAGTACGAATTACACCCATTTTATTTAATATGAATTAAATTTGAGATTTAACATACGTTTTGCAGCACTTCCAAAAGGAGTACTTTGAGTATTATTTGAACCAAAAGAAAACGACATGTTAAATGGTCAAAAAACTTGAAAAATCTATATTATTAGAAATTTGTTTAAAACATTAATCGAATCGTCATTCAACGGATATCAATAAATAACAAAAAAGTCCTCCGTGATAATAATTAATAACAACAGCTTGCTACATATTTATTTATCTATGACATACACACGAGATGGAATTAATAAATAATAAATAAACCAATTTTTTTATTAACTGGCTTTACGGCTCTGGGTTCTGGCCCTTCTGAGACTTAAATAAACTAAAATAAACCACAGAGTTCATTTTTGCCACAGACTAACTAGTGGATTCTACCGAATCAAATAAATAAACTATAAAGTATGACATTGACAGATACTGTCTGTACTACTAAGAAATTCAGGACTTCATAGGCGTGTTTTTACTGACAGCTGTCGCAGAGATCAAGCTATCTTTTATGAACTATATAAGGCAGTAGTCATGTCGATCTGAGATCGTTTAATCGAAGAATCGATTTCTTGTGTCAAAAAGAACGATTTTGTTAATCGATACATGGTAGTGAATCGATATTTCACCCTTGAAAATCGAGATGGAATTTTATTGCTGTTTTAATAAAAACTATAAAATTATTTACAATTAGTTGAATGTACACGAATTCGTAAAAAAGACAGTTTTTCTATTCAAAAACTAGTAAAAATTGGTGTGCTTAGTTTTTTGTCGCCTTTTAATGGATTAAAGAAATAAAAATAAGTTACGTTTATAATACGGATCTGAAAGCAAATCGAAAAAAGATCGATTCTTTGTGAATCGATTCCTCAGATTTCAATTTGAATCTATTTTCGAGATTCGAAAAAGTTAAAACTAAAAAATAAACTAAAGAATATATAGTTTTTATTAAAACAGCAAAAAAAATTCCATCTCGATTTTCAAGGGTGAAATATCGATTCCCTACCATGTATCGATTAACAAAATCGTTCTTTTTGACACAAGAAATCGATTCTTCGATTAAACGATCTCAGATCGACATGACTACTGCCTTATATAGTTCATAAAAGATAGCTTGATCTCTGCGACAGCTGTCAGTAAAATCACGCCTATCAATATAATACTTTGGGCGAGTTGGTGTGCACATTTATCGTACATATACAACGCATAATGACATATTTTCAAAGTGATATCTACTATCCGTCAAACATTCAATCCGCATCAGATGCGCTGCGACCGTAATCTGACTTTACTATCTACAGTCTTTAATTTTTCTCTCTTAACACAGAGTGAGTAGATACTACAAGTTTTTATATATTAAGCTAGGGTTTTTGTTTTGGTTACAATGAACCACGCTAAATACAGTCTACTTTCGTTATTCACGCACCCAATAATTTTGAGACCATGGTTCCCGGGAATCGAACCCGAGACCCCTGTGACCTAAGCATTTTGTGGTTCCTTCGCTTCGGATTCGAATGGCAACCTAGTCGCTCCACCATTTTGACGATTTAGATCATACATATAGGGGGAGACCAGTTACAAACAGTGCCTACCCATGACCAGGGCGTTTCGGGTAGTATTTTAGCCCTTCCCTCGGTATGCGGGGCTCTGCCAGGGGTGACCGAATATTTCCCTAGCTAATCGTGGGACCAAAATGGACGAAATTCCACAATTTGATAACCTCCATTCTCCCTTAATTGAACTGACTATAGGTCTGGAAGAGGCTCTTTTAGCCTCACCAACACCCTGCAACACAATGCCCCAACCTGAGACAAGCCGTAAAGTGGAAGATATGTTTGGAGTCGAAGCACAATCGAAAACGAACCAGGGAAAGTACAAGAAAAAGTTCGCTAGGTATTACAAGCTTAGTGGAGCAGCACGGAAGAAGTACAGGTATAGGAATGATAGCAACTGAGATAGTAGTCGAAAAGGCCCTCTCTATCTGCCAGAAGTCGTGGGTCGAGATTCCTTTGCCCAAACCTCCCCCGGTTCCAAAGGCGAAAAAACGCAGTCAGTCTGCGGAGGAGTCCCCCAAAAACCAGCCCAAGAAATCTGTGTAGGAATTCGCAATTCGAGTCCTATGATCGTGGAGCAGATGCGGCTGGTCCGCTGGGCTCTAACACAGGCTATCGCTAAGACTGCCTTTGGGGCGCAGCCGGGAATGGAAAACAATTAACAAAAAATTTCGGGTTTTGCTCACAAGCCAGGTTGGATTCTGATAACGTGCTTAAATAAGGCAAGCCATGACTAGATTGTGGGTGATGTCGGAAAACTGAAGTTCTGGCCGGAGGCAGAGCTCTCAATAATACCCAAGGGCGGACTGCCGAAGCCTCAGCTGGGCATCATCCATTTGCCCCGTAGCGAAGCTTACTCTTCAGAGAAGGTGGCTTTGCTATTGTGGGCCCAAAATCAGGGGCTCCATACCGAGCTCTGGAAAACCCTCCACAGTAAGGATGAGGAGAATAGGTTTCTTGTAGCGTTTTCTCCAGATGACCCATGTGCGGAGGCTCTCTGGGCAGCAGGCAGCAGAGTCATAATTGACTTTAAAATTATAACTTATAAAGGCTAAGGAGTTGGAGGCAAGAGAGCATCAACCGCTCCAACTCCAATCCCCCTAGCCATCAACGAAACGAAAGAGTTGAGTTACTTTATGACTTTCTCATCTCCAACCATCTGGTAAGCCTAATCTTAGGATGTACACAAACCTTTGTAACGCGTGCTAGGCAAGAAGTGTTAGACATAACCTTTGCTACCACTAACATAAAATGGCGGATAGCTGACTAGCATGTTAGTAGTGAAAACTCGTTATCAGATCACAAATACATTATGTTTGTGATTGGAGCATCACCAACTTACGAAACTGTTGCTTTTGGGGATCCAAAAGCGACCTCCTGGGAGGTCCTCCTTCCTCCTTAGGAATTGGAAACGTTTCCTAAAAGCATCAAAACGATTGAAGGTTTGGGGTTAGCGACTGAGACAGTTACCGTAGGTATCCATGAAGCCTTCGAGGATAGCTGTCCCGTCAAAACAAGAACTCAATACGAAAAGTTCCTTTGTGGAATACTAAGCTAAATAAACTTAGGGAAAAGACCAGGAGACTATTCAGTAGGGCTAAAAAAACCAAAGAGTGGGACATTTATAATCCAGCCCTTACCAAATATAATAAAGAAATTAGGAGAGCCAAGAGAGCATCGTGGAGGAAGCTATGCGAGGAAGTTGAGTATTTGCTTCGCAGTGTAAAATTACACAAAATGCTATCGAAAGCTAAACCTAATCAGATTGGGTTTCTTAAAAAGCCTGATGGTAACTTCACTACTAGTGAAACAGAAACATTGCAGTTAATAGCGTCAACCCACTTCCCAGGGTCACATAAGACTTTTGCCTTGAATTCTTTCAGAGCCCTACGAAGGCCTTGTAATGAGGACTGGTGTAGGGCTACATGATAATAAGGCCAAACCTGGTGCAGTGAGCTGATGACTCCTTTAAACCATATAATACACGCGGGGAGGGTGCAATAATTCCCATCCAACAATAGAATAGAAAATTCTCCGTGTAGTGGCGGTCAAGAATATCCACTACCCCATATCTTCCCGTGGGTGTCGTAAGAGGCGACAGAGGGAGACAGGCAGGAGATGGGCAGCAGCATCTTCCTGATAACAGCAACTGTACGACAAAAAAAAAACTGCGGTTGCCAACCCGCTCGCCAAGCGTGGCAACTATGGCAATATACCCCCCATGAACAATTACACAAATAGACGGCCCCCAGTCCCCGGCGGCCCCGCTATTCCTGGCTACGGTGGCGACCATGGTAACGGCGGGGCAGGGGGTGCTAAGAATCTCCGGTGGAGGTTCGGTTGCCACCTACGACGACTCGACCTGGCAACATTTAACGCACGCACACTGAGGACTGACGAGAAGATCCTGGAGCTGGAAGAAGAGATAGACAAGTTGCGCTGGAGTATTATAGGATTATCCGAGGTCCGAAGAGAGGGGGAGGACACGGTGATTCTCGAATCCGGCAACTTGTTCTATCACCGGGAGGGCGACCATCTGTCCCAAGGAGGTGTCGGATTTATCGTCCACAAGTCTCTCGTCAACAACGTTGTACAGATTGAGAGTGTGTCGACGAGGGTCGCGTACCTGATACTCAGAATCACCAAACGGTATTCGCTGAAGGTCATACAGGTTTACGCACCAACGTCGGCACATTCCGATGAGGAGGTGGAGGAAATGTATGAGGATATTTCCAAAGCCATACATTCCTCCAAAACCCACTACACGGTGTTGATGGGAGACTTCAACGCAAAACTAGGCACAAGAGAAAACGGTGAGCTGAAGTTAGGGAAATTTGGAGTAGGGCAACGGAACCGAAGGGGCCAGCAGCTGGCCGACTTTATGGAGAAAGAGGGACTCTTTATGATGAACTCTTTCTTCCAGAAGCGGCCCCACAGGAAGTGGACCTGGTCGAGCCCCGACGGTTCGACAAAAAATGAGATTGACTTCATTATGACGACCAGACGCCAACTGTTCAGTGATGTCTCAGTGATCGCAAGGGTGAAAACTGGCAGCGATCACCGAATGGTTAGAGGCACACTGAACCTAAACGTTAAGTTGGAGAGGTCTCGTCTAATGAAGTCAACGCTCCGTCCCCCTCGTGCTCTGATCCAAAATCCCGAAAACTTTCAGCTCGAGTTACACAACCGCTTTCAGTGCCTACAAGATTGCAATGCAGTGGACGATATGAATGACAAGCTTGTGGAAACTGTCCATGCGGTCGGAGCTAAGTTCTGCAAGACCCGCCGCGGAAGAACACAAAAACTCTCCGATCACACTCTTAATCTCATGGCTGTTAGACGGGAGATGAGGCTGCAATCGTCAACAGATTTGACAGCATACAGGCAACTGAACAGACAGATCTCCAAATGCATGCGGCGAGACTTACGCAACTTTAATACTGCTCGTATTAAAGAAGCGATCGAGCGGAACCAGGGCTCCAAAGTCTTTGCCAGAGATCTGTCTGCCAGAAAGAGCCAACTGTCAAGGC